CGACGACGGGGGTTTATCAAATAATCTCTTCTCTTTACAGCAATACTTTAGATTCGGATCGGGATCCAATTTCTCAGCGCGGGCTGTCTTCTACGACGTCCGCGCCCCAAAATCTCAGCGCGGATTGTCTACATTGACGTCCGCGCTCCAAACTCCTGGCGCGGATTGTCCCCTCCGACGTCCGCGCCTCAAACTCTCCCATATCCACACAAAATAATAACATAGCCGTTCAACCAGCCAACCGCTCAATGTCAAGGACAACACTCTCACTGCCACACTCGCCGACACATAGCCCTTACCCGCCCACCCCCCGCGCTAGCCCCCTGTTTATTAGCTTAGGTTACCTACTTCTATCCACTTAACCCTCTTCTTTTTTCCCCAGCCATTATCTATTTATTATCTTTTTATTTACTTTCACATCAGCTTAACTGATACCTATTTCCTCTCTACCTCTCTTATTTATTTATACTCCCCTAGACCTTGGTTAACGTAGGACTTTCTCAATCTCAGTTATGGCCTCTCACTGCCTCTTCAACCCATATCGTTCTCTCTCGTATTTTATCCCCCTTCATTTACAGTTTTTTGGGCTAGACGTTTATTATTATTCCCACTATTTTTGATTGTATAAGACCCGTCTGCCCCGAGTGCGAAATAGCCAGAGGTTGAAGCGCTCGTAAAATCTCCCAACTATTGACTGATTGCGTTTAGATCACTGCAGCCAAGCCTGAGATGGGAGTGTAAAACCTGACAGAATCTTGATCCATAATTTGTATCAAAGTATGAACCATTCCTATCATTGCTTTTTATAAAACTTATAAAACTTCCTAAGCTACTGGCATTGGTGTATTCAATAGGTAGTGAGTTCCAATTATTAACTTATCTGGAATAAATGATTTGGCATAATTATTTGATTTACATTTTGTGGCTTGCAGCTGTGAGCAGTTTCTCAAATTATAATCACTTGCATCCGACACTCTATTTGGAACTAAGGATGAGAGATAGTCCGGTACTAGATTGTTAACCATTTTATAAAAAAAATATTTATCTTTTAAAAATGCCTTCTTTCTTTTTAATGACGTAAGATTTTGTTTCTTTATAAAGTTTACCGTGACTTGTGCCATGGGCAGCCCCACAAATAGTTCTGAGTGCATCTAGATTTATTTTTTTCAAGTAGTAACGCCTGTTCTTTTGTTCAGTTGTCCCATATGTGGCAACAATAGTCAAACATCGGTAATATGAAAGATATATACATAATTTCCAGTGTTTTTTTTCTATTTAAGCGATACTTGAAACTCATGAGACAGTTAATCATTGGACTGACTTTCTTGACTAGGCTATCAATGTGATCGTTCCACATACAATCTTCTTGGAGAATAAGTCCTAGATGTTTATGAGAATGAACTTCCTGAACAGTAGGTTTACACATTTTCAAAACTGTTTTTTACATTTGGAGAATCGTCCGGGAAAATTGGATAGATACTGTTTTATTAGGATTAAAATCGACCTGCCAATTTTCTGCCCAAGAGGGTATTCTACTTAGATCGTTATTCAGACAATATGGTGCTGTATTCGGGTCATTTACCACGACATATAGGGATGTTTCATCGGCAAACAATCTTATATAACTATCAATATCGTCTATAATGTCGTTTATGAAAATTAGAAACAGTAGCGGTCCTAAAACTGAACCTTGTGGAACTCCGGCCGTAACTTGTCATAAGTCTGAACTATACCCATTGAAAACAATCCGTTGGCATCTATGTTTTAGGTAGCTTTCAAACAATCACAATAATTTCCTTTCAATACCATAGGATTTGAGTTTATGGATAATGCCTCTGTGCCAGACTTTATCAAAGGCCTTGATAATGCCGCAAAAGACTGCTCTAATGTCTTTGCCTTTATCCAATTCTCTAGCAATAAAATCAGATAAGTAAGTCAGCTGGTTAGCGGTAGAATCTCCTGGCATGAAACCTGATTGAAGATTTGTAAGCAAATTATTATATCTTAAGTAATTAAAAAACATATTTGAAAACGCATTTTTCGAATATTTTAGCCACACAACACGTGAGAGCTATAGGTCTATACGTACTACATTCATTAATGTTACCTTTCTTATAAATAGGCATAACGGAAGTTTATTTCCAACTTACCGGAAAAGTAGACTTATCCAGGGATACATTAAATAAGTAAGCCAGTGGATATGATATCGCTGAAGTACTTAATTTCAATAATATATTGCCGTTACCGTCGGGCCCTGTTGCCTTAGTTACATTAACAGATAGGAGAACATCTTGAACTTCCTTTGTTGTTAGAATGATAGTAGAGAGCGATTTTTCTGTTTTAAAATTAATATAAGGGAGTTTTATCAGGATATTTAACAGATGCCTGGTCAGAGAAATAATTGTTCATCACTTTTGCAATATCTCTTGTATCATCATATAGTATATCGTGGTAATTAATGGGAGGACATTTTGTATTACTGGTGCCCCTCAGACATTTTTTAACAAGCCGCCACCTTACTTTTCCCCGTACGCATCATTAATTTTACTGTCAATCTTGAGTATCAATAATCTAAAAAACACCAAAAAATCCTCATCCTAACCGACTCCCTCAGTGGACTACAAGCCCTCAAAGATAAAAAACACTAAAAAACGCCCCAAACTAATAAATAAAATACTCAAAAGCTCAAACAACTTAACTAAGACAGGTAAATAAATAGAGTTCATTTCGATCCCCGCCCACGTAGGAATCTTTGGAAATGAAAAGGCAGATAAAGCAGTAAAATTATCCCTTAAACTCCCAGAAATAAGCTTAAACATACCCAGCTCAAAATCAGAAATAAAAAATGTCACTTAACAAAATATCAACAAAAAATAGCAAAATATATACCAAAACTCAAATAGCCAAATCAGAAAAGTACTAACAAAAAACCTAACCAAACCAAAAATAGTTCACCCATCCAAACAATTGGACAGAATAATTACTAAACTACAAACAGGCCACACCAAATTAAATAATCACCATAAAATAGCTATTCTACACACAACAGGAAACTGCCCACATTGCAAACAACAAGAAACACCAGAACACGTACTCATTCACTGCACACACTACCAAACACACCGAACAATACTACAGACCAACCTAAATCTTCAAACCGCACTTACACTAGAATCAATCCTAAATCCACAAAATAAATTAGAAAAAATCAAAGCCTTAGGCATATACCTAATTAAAACAGGACTAATTAGTTGCATTTAAACCCAAATAAAATATTAAAACCAAATCTACCTAATCTAACAACCACCCAACACACACAGCTCCCTTAGTTCGGCCTCCACCCACTCTTGGCATTCATTCCAAATCTCAAAATTTCAAAATTACTATATAAGCAACCCCTAAAGCCCCCCTCCTGTGTTGCACAAACTCACTTTTTCCCCTTTTCGGAAACACATTAAATGGCCTGGCCGGGCCCGTGTGCGACATACGCTTGCTTACGGAAAGCGCATGTTTAAATCTTCAATATAAGAAAGGAAGACCACTTGCTGTGTTGTATATCACATGCTTGATAAAGATGCTAGAACCAATACCGAAACGTCGATCTTAATTGTAATAAAGAAGTTATTCATCCATAAATTAGTATCGTTACTTAGTACTCCAACTTCTAAATCCCTATCAAAGAAGACTCAACTATTGACAGAAGCATGACTACAGTTTTGGGTGAGTTGACGTCACGTAATGACTGGTACACGTCAAAGTAGGGAGATGCATTGCCTTTAAATATTTGTTGCTGGTGCGTCAAATTTGGAAATGTCCAAATAATGAAACGTTGGAATATGTCATTAAGCTCAATTCAATGAGGATTATGGTGTTTTTTAATTAATTAAAGTGTTAATGTAAACTAGTATTGATTGTGACATATATTTTGTCTTTATGTGTCATGTTCTTTGTCAATCTTTTTTTTCAAGAATGGACTGACCCTGAGGACAAGGGTTTTCCCCGGAACTAAATGATGTGGGTCTGTGCATAATTGAGACTGGAACAGACAATCTAGTGACTGACAACATGATCATCGATCTCCGCAAATGGGGAACGATGGTATGCACCTTCTCAGTCAGCAATGCTGATCATCTTTACGACAAGCTTGTGTTGCTGAAGACCAATTACATCCTAGACCTTTACAGAAGTAGGTTACAATGAGGACCGAAGAGATACAACTAACGTCAACCACCAACCCGACCCTACTCTGTACATCAGCCACTCAAGGAGATAACAGAAGTGCATCTTGCTAACTATGAATTTTGTTGTGTTGCATAAAATCAGTCTCCATCCATCATTGTGGGACAATGAAATATTGAGTACAGTTCTAGAGTTGAAAATATACATGTTGGTTGGTTGGTTGGTTGGTTGGTTTGTTTAACGCCGCACTCAGCAATATGCCAGCTATATGACGGCGGTCTGTAAATAATCGAGTCTGGACCAGACAATCCTTTGATTGATATCATAATCATCGATCCACGCAATTGGGATCGATGACACGCATCAACCAAGTCAGCGATCCTGACCACCCGATCTCGTTAGTCGCCTTTATATGACAAGCATAGTCGTAAAAGGCGACTCACGGGATTGGGTGGTCAGGCTCGCTGACTTGGTTGATGCATGTCATCGATCCCAATTGCGTGTACGTGCTAGATGTTAGTTTAGGCCTACTGTTGCCATCGTGAAAAAAATCGACCCAAGACACACAACAAAACATAAGCAAAATATCCTACTAAAATAGGCTCACTAAAAGCGGTTCATTGTACGAGTACTAATATATTTCTGAGTCAATTTCAAATAGTGATGATGCCTGGTGTTTGTGAAAGGTTTTGGGGTCAGTTTCCCAGAGGGCGGGATGCGGAGTTGGACATAAAAATGGTGGTGTTTTCCAGGTTCAATTACCAAGTGGCAGTTACCATGTGTGAAGATATCTGGCCCTCTAATGTCTTTTGCTACATTACCTTTTGGCCTCCCGGTTGACTTTCTTCTGCAATTAATAAGAACATATCATTAGTTCTGAGACTAATTTGATAGACACAAGCATGGTCATCCAGTGGGTAACAAGTACACTATACATCCACTGATGTATAGGTCACAAGAAGTAAGTTTATTGTAAGGAATCACGACTGTCTCATCCACCTTCCCACAAACTAGAATTGTTTTACCATCGCGTGACATTGAGGTTATTCAGACGGTTATTGTCAGAGATGTAAAGTTAAACCTATTATGGGAACAGCTCTTTAGGAAAAAGAAAAACAACAACAGCAATTAGACAGCGCTGGCAATGTTATTCATGTCCACTTTACTAAGGAACAATTGTTGTCATACGTGTGTAAAAGAACAAGTATCATTACTGATTCACTTGAAAAAAATAGAGGGTATTTAAGCTGTGTTTAATATATTGCTTTATATTATTGGCGTTGTTCAAATTTTCACTTCTGGCATCGAGGACGTGATAATTCCAAATGATAACCTGTTTTTCGAAATGTAGTAGAACTGAGTACATGTATTAGAACCCCACCGTCACCATTCTCGACAGTATCAATAATAATTCATCATGACTCATATTTTCACTGCAACAAAAACATAACTTGCATTTGTATTTTTACTCCCTAGTCTCAGTACTATCAAAGAGTCATCTTCTTTTAAACTATGTAGGCTCTGGGTAAGAGTACACAGAAATAATCTAAGAAATGCAAGTCACGCTTTCATGAAGATTATATGAAATGTTGTTTTACTTACCTCTGGCGTTGACGCTTCATGACGATGGTTACGACGATGATAACAATAATGGCCACAAGGGGGATTGTGATGATCACTGCGACGTGTGCCGTTGACAGTCCTGTTGTTTCATCTGTTGTCACCTTGACGTCTGTCCTTATTGATACTGTCGAAATAAACGTTGCCTATTTACATCCGTACAATTACATCACTTTATTAATATAATGTATGTGATAAATGGCGGTTTTCCTTGTAGTATGTTATTCTTAATGCTAATGTTCTTATAAAAACACGTCCCATTTTAATTCTGGAAATACAAAAGTCCAGAAACTCTACGCTCTTTGCCCAGTCTCGGTTAAAGGTATTACAAAATTAAACATGCCGTTTTCATGGGAACATACCAAGGAAGAAAAAAATGAAAAAAAATTTGTTTAAAAACTCAATATTTAGACTATGTCGCCCATGGGCCTGCCCATGGGCGAAGTCTGGCCCATGGGTAGGCCCATGGGCGAGAATATGTTCCTTTACTTAAAACTCATGATTTTGTTTCGCAAATACATTTAATGTATTCATTCAAGTATCATGACACAAAATTTAACTCATTTTAACTTAATTCAACGATTTTATAGCGATATTGAAATATTTCGCCCATGGGTGAGAAAAAGGTTTGGCCCATGGGCGAGAATATGTTCCTTTACTTAAAACTCATGATTTCGTTTTGCAAATACATTTAATGTATTCATTCAAGTATCATGACACAAAATTTAACTCATTTTAACTTAATTCAACGATTTTATAGCGATATTTAAATATTTCGCCCATGGGCGAGAAAAAGGTTTGGCCCATGGGCGAGAATATGTTCCTTTACTTAAAACTCATGATTTTGTTTCGCAAATGCATTAAATGTATTGAAAGAAGTATCATGACACAAAATTTAACTCATTTTAACTTAATTCAACGATTTTATAGCGATATTTAAATATTTCGCCCATGGGCGAGAAAAAGGTTTGGCCCATGGGCGAGTATATGTTCCTTTACTTAAAACTCATGATTTTGTTTCGCAAATACATTAAATGTATTCATTGAAGTATCATGACACAAAATTTAACTCATTTTAACTTAATTCAACGATTTTATAGCGATATTGAAATAATTCGCCCATGGGCGAGAAAAAGGTTTGGCCCATGGGCGAGTATATGTTCCTTTACTTAAACTCATGTTTTTGTTTCGCAAATACATTAAATGTATTTATTCAAGTGTCATGACACAAAATTTAACTAATTTTTACTTAATTCAACTATTTTACGGCGTTATTAAAATATTTCGCCCATGTTTTCGTCAGTCCCTTTCAAGCATCAACTTACTGTTTGCAAAGTATATTGTATAATGTGAAATATACTTTATATTATATCATTACATTACTATTTAAAAAGGGCATTCGGTTGGATGTTTCCTTTAGTTCTACAAATTTCACCTGTTTTACATTTTGTAGCGATCTTTAATGAACCCGGCCTTACCTCTTGTAACGTTTTGACAGTTTATCATACGAATTCATGTGCGTGTACTCCAATTCATTGGAGTTATTTTCCACAACATTAACACTAGGTATGCATATACAGGTACGCGTGCGCGTATTTTAATGAAAAAACTATTCGTCTTTTATTGCATAACGTTTGGCTGAATATCTTACATTCTAACGAAATCTCGAAATAATTATTTAATTACATGCGGTTTCGAACTGACCAGTGGGAATTATGTTTCAATGCGATTGAGGAAAACGTGAGTGAATATTGTGACACTAAAGCAACTTTTAACTGCATTGTCACTTTTGGTATGAAAATGGTAACAGTTCAGAAAAAAACAACAGCCTTCTTATGATAATTATCATTAGTACGTTGTATCTAATTACAGTGTCGGCCTTATTTACAGGTGATTCTACAATACCTGCTCTCAGTCAATTACAATCTACCACACCACGCGTGAATAAACAGTTATGCAGGTGTTGCTGTGGGCAAATACCTAGCCTGAAAATGTTTATTTTTTTTAGCATACATGTTTTACAAATGTTCGTTGATATGTGGATATATTAAGCACAAAGACAAAAAAATGTTTATGAAGGATGAATTAGTGCCTTTATATATATTGATCAAGATGTGTATCATCGTTTAATGGGGTCATTCAATAAACGTATGTTTGGAGGAGATATCAAAGGAGCCACTCAATATACACAGCGTCGTCCGGTGAACTACCACCCCACCCTTTCCATTAGAGTTATGTAATCGGTACACAAATATATTTGATGCGGTGTCAGTGCGGAAGGAGTTTGAATTACGTCCGCCACTTGCCACAGAAATCCTCAAAGTATAGAAACAATAAACAAGGTCAATCCGTACTAATTACCTAGTGACGCACGTAACAACGACTGTCAATAGGGAAAATGGTGAAAACAAATTGAAATAGATTTTAATAAAACATTATTGTACTAAATAACTCGCAAAAGCGGTGCCTAAAATTGTTTGACCGTGTTATGTGTGTTGTAAACTGACGAATAGCAAGTAATTGTCATGCTGTACGCATGGTTCCATATACAAATTCAGTTATACAACCGGTATGAAACTGAGAACTGAGATACCAAGTACAACCTGCATTCACACACGGAAGCAATATACTTGTGTGTATGCCCTCTCCTCTAAAAAATGTATCACTAAAGTATTTGCATTGTAATAAATATAGTAATGATAAAACTTGGTAATTTGGTAGGTCTCCGACAGATATGATTTTCAGTTTTTTTACACCTTTGATTGATAAGGATTACGTACCTGTAGTCTAGTCACTGTCTCTAATGTATCTGCTTGTTAGAAATTTCAAATGTCTTGTTATAGCACTGTTCCTAAAATACGGCAGTTTCCGTTTTATCGGGTATAAATAGTTGATTCGTCTTGTCACGCAGTCATTTTTACTTGATCGAATGATTTCCACAAAAAAATACGGCAGAGAGTTTTGTATTTTATTACATTTTTAGAAGATTTTAGAAGATGCTTACATCACTGTATCTCAGAACGTAAAACTGATAACATTCAAACATGTAATTAGTACACAGTTAATTGTTTCATATAATTTCCTGCTTATTCCTTTTTGAACAAAAAGCCTACATGTATACTGATATCGGTGTCCACTGTTAAAAGGGTATTAGTACAGTCAGCCATGGTAAATAGAGAGACAATAATAAGGTGATTAATTATAGTCTGTTGCAGAATATGCGGTATAAGTGTAGTCATTGATACATATACACATTACACATATACAGATGAAATACACGATATGATGCAGTGCAAGAACAAATTAAGATACGGTTCCTATTAAAAATAATTATACGATTTTGGATTTAATTAACATGTTTAAATTTTCAGGCCAACACGGCTGAGATACAGCATCGGCATACTCAACTGGAGTTGTTTTCTGCCGGTCGTAAGTTCATAGTTTGACTGAGCACACTCGTGTCGGGGTTGCGATATTTTCTTCTCTTTGTTGGCAGCCTGCCACCGGTCTGAATTTTGAGAAAGGTATCAGCATGGGACTGTTAATTACTTCTTAATGATGTCTACAAGCTTACAAACTTGTAGATGTTGGGTGCGGTTAGGACCAAACTTTTTCAGCTCAGAGTGTTAGTGGTCCTGGAACCCATAGTGTCAAACAGGTTCTGCACAAAACGTCCATCAGATTCTACTGTTCAGCAACATTGTCACTGAATTTCAGAACTCTGGCATGATATAATAATCAAGGATTTCGAAGGTGAACGAGGGGAAAGGCAGACGCACGTGGATTTACCCTCAGGTTATTATTGTCTGGAGTTCACATTTTGGGGCATTTCATATACTAATTGAACAGAGTTCACCTGCACATGTCCACTTTAGTGATACAGACTGTAACCAAAAATGCAATGAGCCGTAGCTCTTAATCCCTCATAACAACGGTAACAACAACCAGGGTGAGTACACAGTAAGGTTAAACCGTGTCCAACAGTCAATCTGAGGTGGCTATCTCCCATCAAGTCAGCTCTGTTTTTAAGCGCATAGTTATGTTTTTACATATTGAAATAAAATGAATTTAAAAAATTATATTTAACAAACCTACACATTACCAAATACAAAACTTTATAACCCTTTCTAGACTTCGTTCCAATTAACCTGGATCATTCAACTCGCTCGCGAAGGTCGTATGCGACATTAAAGTGAATACGTCTACAGTGTACAAGTAACTTTTAACTGTATCATATATACTCATGATAAGCAATTATTTTCGTTCCTAATTCGAATGAGCACATTCTGAGGCTAAATCTGCAAAAGGACAGATAAAATATTTCTTTGTGCAATGCAAACGATACAAACGTAGCGGCTGATAATAGAGACAATGATTTAATAATCTGCAACATATCAAGTGTTCTCGTTCAATCTATTGTACATATTGAAGTGATTGTAAAGTTTCAAGGAGTACTAAAATGTTGTGGTATTATGAATGTATTTAGAATATGAATAGCGAAAAACAGTCACCATATAGGATGTACATGTATAACTTGTCTTCCAACACCACGCTTGTGCCGAGGCTCATGGTCATAAAACTAATCGGTCCCATAAAAGGAGCAAATAGTTTCGCAGATACTTCTTGCTATGGTTCACTCCCAATTGTCAGACGACCTAATCATCAGTCAGACCAGTCAATTGTGACCAGCGTACCTGCCTGGTTTTGGCTCCTAATTACTGAACTGCCCAATACTGTCATACTGTGGGCAGAGTAAGCGGCCTCGTTGAGTGATACAGACTAACCAGATTATGATTGTGTTTGTAAGTTGCGTTTAATCTGTGTCGGGTTGCAGTTGTTTTATTAGTCAAGACTAGGGGTAGTTTTTTCAATGAAACCTTTTAGCCGTTGAGTTTGTTTTGAATTCATTTCATTAAATACATTGTTAGGTAGAATAATAACACGTTATATGGATTAAACATCTCCCTAATCTGAGTATAATCTCACATGTACTCTAAGTACCGTACTATATTACTTTGCGGAGACACTGAGTATATTTTTTTAGTTGGCATTGTATGCTGTCTGATGACTTTACACAAATCCCTGCACTCGCTGACTTGGTTGATGCATGTCATTGTATCCCATTTGCGTGGATCGATGCACATGATGTCAATCACTGGATTGTCTGGTCCAGAATCGATTATTTACAGACCGCCGTCATACAGCTGAAATATTGCTAAGTGTGGCGTTATACAACTAACAAACAAACAAAACACAAAAAGAGAAAGTGTGTGAGTACTAAAACTTGCAATAGATATGCGTACCCTACGTACACACATGAGTCCCATTCGACAGTCTACAACACACGAATAACTGTCAAACAAGTTTGGGTACCCCTTCTGTTCGAGCAAGTTATTTAGTTCGATAAGTTTGTATTAAAATCCTTTTCAATTTGTTTTCATCCTTTTTCCCTACTCCATGCATGTTTATGTTGCTACATCTTATTGCTCATGTTTCCAAGTATTGTAAAACACTTTAATGTTTCTCCTTCTTAATCTAACGTTATAACCTATCCGGTCATTGCCATCATCTAATACACAAGAGATGATACCAAGACATATTTTATTCGGTTTTATGGTCTATGCGGTCTTACAATTGATTTTATTAATCTTTAAATCTTATGTCTAGTAAATATTTTCACAAACAGGGCTGTTAACTGATATAAGGAATGTGACATCCAGTTGAGGACTGAATACGACGTACGTTAGTCTGGTAACGACATTTCTACAATAATTTTTTGAATAAACCGTTAATACGCCAGTTGTGACAGGGATGATGGTATGGTAGATGTAGCAGACATATTGACAGCCGTTGTTACGCGAGTCACTAGGTTATTAGTAAGGCAATGGCCTTGTTGATTGGTACTATACTTTCTGTGGCCACTGGCGGACGTAATTCAAACTCCTTCCACACTGACATCGCACCAAATATATTTGTGTACCGATTACATAAGTCTTACTGACAGGGTAGGGTGGTAGTTCACACGAAACGGACGACACTGTGTATATTGAGCGGCTCCTTTGATATCGCCTCACTACATACTTTGAATGAATGACCAATTAAACGATGATACACATCAGGATCGCGGAGAAAATACAAGCTTCGTTCGCGTTGAATATATATATCAAGGAATAAACATTTTGTGTCCTGGTGCTTAATATATCCACATATCAACGAAAATATGTAATACATGTATCCACAAAAATATACATGTACAGGCTAGGTATTTGCCAACAGCAACACCTGCATAACTGTTTACTCACGCGTGGTGTGGCAGATTATAATTGACCGACAACAAGTATTGTAGAATCACCTGTAAATAAGGCCGACGCTGTAATTAGACACAACGTACTAATGAGAATATGAGAATTATCATAAGAAGGCTGTTACGTTTTTCTTAACTATTACCATTTTCATACCAAAAGTGACAATGCAGTTAAAAGTTGCTTTAGTGTCACAATATTCACTCACGTTTTCCTCAATCGCATTGAAACATAATTCCTACTGGTCAGTTCGACACTGCTTGTAATTAAATAATTATTTCGAGATTTCGTTAGAAAGTAAGATATTCAGCCAAACGTTATGCAATAAAAGACGAATAGTTTATTTTCATTAAAATACGCGCACGCGTACCTGTCACGTAATTGCACAGTGGGATGTATCAACGGGTCATAAAATGGGAAATGAAATAGAAACTAACTAAAATTTAATGTTGTACACGCACATGAATTCGTATGATAAACTGCCAAAACGTTTTGAGAGATAAGGCCGGGTTCATTAAAGATGTTGGGTGCGGCTAGGACCAAACTTTTTCAGCTCAGAGTGTTAGTGGTCCTGGAACCCATAGTGTCAAACAGGTTCTGCACAATACGTCCATCAGATTCTACTGTTCAGCAACATTGTCACTGAATTTCAGAACTCTGGCATGATATAATAATCAAGGATTTCGAAGGCAAAACCTTTTCTCGCCCATGGGCGAAATATTTCAATAAATCTGTAAAATAGCTGAATTGAGTAAAATTGAGTTACATTATGTGCCATGAAAATAGTAAGAACACCTGCATGTATTTGCGAAACAAAAACATTAGTTTTAAGTAAAGGAAAATATCCTCGCCCATGGGCCAAACCCTTTTCTCGCCCAGGGGCGAAATATTTCAATATCGCTATAAAATCGTTTAATTAAGTTAAAATGAGTTAAATTTTGTGTCATGGTACTTGAATGAATACATTAAATGTATTTGCGAAACAAAAACATGAGTTTTAAGTAAAGGAACATATTCTCGCCCATGGGCCTGCCCAATGGCCTACCCATGGGCCAAACCTTTTTCTCGCCCATGGGCGAAATATTTCATTATCGCTATAAAATCGTTGAATTAAGTTAAAATGAGTTAAATTTTGTGTCATGATACTTCTTTCAATACATTTAATGCATTTGCGAAACAAAATCATGAGTTTTAAGTAAAGGAACATATTCTTGCCCATGGGCCAAACCTTTTTCTCGCCCATGGGCGAAATATTTCCATATTGCTATGAAATCGTTGAATTAAGTTCAAATGAGTTAAATTTTGTGTCATGATACTTGAATGAATACATTAAATGTATTTGCGAAACAAAAACATGAGTTTTAAGTAAAGGAACATATTCTCGCCCATGGGCCTGCCCATGGGCCTACCCATGGGCCATGGGCGACATAGTCTAAATATTGAGTTTTTAAACAATTTGTTTTTCATTTTTTCTTCCTTGGTATGTTCCCATGAAAACGGCATGTTTAATTTTGTAAATACCTTTAACCGAGACTGGGAAAAGAGCGTAGAGTTTCTGGACTTTTGGGTTACCAGAATTAAAATGGGACGTGTTTAAAAGTTATTGATGTATTAATATTGTATAATTATTAATACACTAATAGATGTATTTGTTTGACTAAATACTATGTACTTATGACTGAGAAATAGGAAACAATGAAAACACTGATAAATGTTTATATATGTTACAAAACACACGTATGGGTGTTCTGAAATGAGTACTCATTCAGGAACAAACCACATCCACTTTAGATCTAATGTTAGATAAGATCTGATGTGGCTGGGGGATTGCTGAGTGAGGCTTTATACAAAAACAAAGAAATGAGATAATAAATAATTCAGACTTTTTAAACTAAAAGAAACCACAAACATATTTCTAACACGATGGGTGATTTTCATATTTTATTTACGGAAATTAAAATGCCCAACAGTTTATCTTTTGCCATCCGTCAACTTCGAGGTGCCTATCAAGAATCGTAGATACACCTGATGAAGAGACGTTTTCGATTGAACAATGTGAAACCGTTTATCATCCCATACCTTCAGTGACCTCACAGAAATCCCCTGTTTTGTTTCCACTGCATCCCTTTGTACACTGTCCATTCTGATGACTGCAGACGTTGTCCAGACAGTTCTTGCTGCAAGGTTGGTCACATTGAGCAGCATACCATCCAGGGATGCAGCCATCGGAGCACTCTCCTGTTTCCTTGTTACAGTGTATGAGGTACCTCTGAAGATTAACTTGACAGTTTGGGGGGCAGCGTTTGTCACAATTCTCCCCATGTTTGCCCCACTCGCATGCTGCGACTGTATTAATCAGAAATGCTGAAAATATGACAAAATAGAGATGAATGAAAGTAAGAAAGACACCCAGACGCTGTATTAAAAAAAACGCACATCTAGTACTGATACTGTGCAAACGTGTAACTACTGTGTAAATATTTGATGCGTAAAACAATCATAGAGCTGTTTGCTCACATGCAGACAACCACTTCATGCAATAACCATCTATCACTGACTGTGCCATTGATTGATGTATTGTCTTATCGCATCCTTAAAACAAATCAGTTATGCACATGTATTGTGTATGTTGATATAAATTTAAACGTGGCTTCATATACTAAAATGGCTGTGCTAAAGAACACAAGGTTGTGTTTACATTTTATTGAATGTAAAATATTTACTGCAAATCTTAAATAACAGAATATCGACCATATTTATTGCCATGTCATTATATCTAGAACAGGGTGATATAGATATATACGGTAATAGTATTTACTGTTGAATATTGTGTCACAGTTAGGCACAGGTTCAAATGGACAATATTCATGAATGCTCTTGTGGGTTTCTAGAATTACACTTTTTCATTGACGTTACTGTACGAAACTCACAGTAACCTGGACGTTTGTTTGATCATGTAGTGATGAAAAGATGTACTCACTGAAATACAGAACTGTGCTTGTCCTCAGCATGGCTTGAAGAGTTCTCTACTTGTTCATATGAAGCCTGCTTGGAAGAGAATGTATGTATACACCTCTTATTCACGACTTGATTCTTCTATTGAACCGGTTTACATGCATGCAGTAGTGTCAATTATCAAAAACAGAAAATGTTCATCAAATACACTGATAAGCTGTTCGTTGAACTCAACACTTTGAGACTCTCTGAGAAGGATGGTAGCATTACATAGTCAGAAAATACAGCAACACCAGCTAGATCTCTCCCTTTGTTCTCACAAGTGTCCTTCCATAAACTGACAAGGTCCAGCTATGTTACATGTAGATTTATCCACTCTCAATGTAACATTTGAAACCTCGCTCTGCTGTTCAGTTTAACATACATTTCACACTCATATATATGCATACTATGTAGATATGTTTGTACATATGAAGATTTATTTTTATTCATTTCAACTTAAGATCGTTTATTATAATTGACTGATTGTCACGGAGTGGCGATTTCGTACTTTTGAAAATATGTTACTAAATCTGACTAATCGTGACTAAAAATATTTTTCAAGAGTCGATTCGTCTTTATATCTAGTATTTCAACACTGTTGTACTAAAAAAATGGATATGACTTGCATGTATGCAATGCTGTGACATCAACGTGTGAATCATATCATATGAGAGTATTGACCACAGAGGTGGTGCATTATGTCTACCACAAATGACGTGTGAAAATAATTGTACAGGGACTTACATCCTTGTAAACGAAATCCAGATGCAGATTAAAAAAAACACCACAGCTGAAGTCTGAAGGATGCATTTAAAGAATCAGAAATATAAGCCCTGGTACATTTTCACCCGTACCCCTCCCAGTCAACCCCGATACTCACCGCAAACACCCGGAGCTTCCAAACACAACCCCGCACCTGTCCACCTACCCGTACACTCAACCCCCCCCCCCCCCATCCCCCACCCCCCCCCCCCCCCCCCCACACACACACACACACACACACACGCACACACACACACACTAATCCCATACTCTCCCACCTCTGACTTCCAACGCCCCCGTGCCTCCCAAGCTCGGCCACGCACACAACACTTACCTACCCAGCTCAATCCACACTGCTGACTATCCCCACATATCCAGGTACATAGTGACAGAACAGTCAAATGCACCCCTGCACAGACAGCCCAGGCTTCCAGTGACGGTCTTATTTCCCGGGAAAACAGCATGGGTGTAGCCTACTCTGGGTTAGGGAATGACTTGGCCTAGATTACGCTTCATATGTGTGGGGTGTCAACTTGACATGACTCTCCGTCAGTGGCAGATTGAAATCCTCGAAATCACTTGCGTGAGACTGTAATTGGAATTGCGAAAATCTATACATGCATTGACGTGCACTGAATATGTTTGATATCATGAAGTCAAAGAGAAGGGCACAGTCACACATTTACAACATTCATACTACTGTGTCCGTGCTCTATGCAAGTACTTGTGATCAACATGGCTTCTCACGCCGACGTTTCAAAATGTAACCCATAGGACACACCATTTCGTGTCAGTTGTTAGCAATTTGATCACCAGATAACAAGTGAATGTTGATTCACGGCGGCCTGTAAGTACTCGATTCTGTTCCTGGTATCTCAGTGGTTGATATCATGAACACAAACACATATGTCAGTGGTTGTTAGGATGAACAACTTCAGACACGTCGATGGTTAATGACATACGAATGCCCAGGTAGTTAAGTGGTTGATAGCATGAGCATATCCAGGTAGTTCAGTGATTGATATCATGAACACAATAACATACGTCAGTGGTTGTTAGCATGTGCAACTTCAGACACATCCGTGGTTGATGACATAAACATGTCCAGGGAGTTAAGTGGTTGATGGCATGAACACAAACACATACGTCAGTGGTTGTTAGGATGAACAACTTCGAGACATCCGTGGTTGATGACATGAGCATGTCCAGGTAATTTAGTGGTTGATAGCATGAACACAAACACATACGTCAGTGGTTGTTAGGATTAACAACTTCGAGACATCCGAGGTTGATGACATGAGCATGTCCAGAAAGTTCATTGGTTGATAGCATGAGCACAAACACATACGTCAGTGGTTGTTAGGATGAACAACTTCGAGACATCCGAGGTTGATGACATGAGCATGTCCAGAAAGTTCATTGGTTGATAGTATCAGCACTTCCGGGTTCAATCTGCGGCTGCTGGCTGGCAAATTCTTAGAAACCCGCAGATGATCGAATGAACAACTCCAGATGATTCAGTGTTTGATAGCATGAACTCATTCAGGAGTGACATGACCTGCATTGAAATCACTGAAAGTACTTGCTTGAGACTGTGATTGGAATCGCGAATACCTGCACATGCATCGATGTACACTGAATATGTATTATGCTAACATAGAAGGGCATAGTCAAACAGCCATGTCATGCTTTCTATTTCCTGTGCTCGTCATCAACATTACCAAATGTAACCCACAACACACACACTGTCAGCTGTTATCAATCACTAGGTAACAAGTGAATGTTGAGTCATAACGGCATGTGAGTGATCATACTGATCGATTCCACTCCAGGTAAATAGGTGGTTGGTAGCATGAACACAATCCATGCTGTTCAAGTTTAAAATGCATGAGCTTCTTGTGCAGAAATAGTGCTAAATAATAAATGGCGATTTTTTTTAAAACAAGTAGATACTGTATAGGTATACATACACTTTCAAGTTAGAATTAAAATGCAATACACACAGTTAATATATTACATGCCCTGGTAAGACCGTCGGAATTCGTTAAAGTATTAAGATATATTGTTTGCGTATCCGTTTCACAGTAGTATATCGTCGGGTCCCAAGATGCTAAATTTCGTTCCGGTTCAAGTACTTGTCCCAATCCCTGTTTCAGAAAGTGAACAAATGATGAAATAACGTACATGCACCAATAACAGATTGAACTCACCACAGTGATGCTGATCATCCGATTACGCAGCTATATTCCAGCTGTATGACTGGTTGTAAATAATCGAATCTGGACCAGACACTCCAGTGATGGACGCAATCAGCATCGACCTATGCAATTGGGATTCGATGACATGAATGAACCAAGTCAACACCCGATCACGCAGTCAGTGAAGAAAGCAGGTAATCGCGGAAAGGGCAAGCATGCCATTATTTGAGTTGAGATATAACCATCGGGAAACAATATTTTTTTTAGGGATAAAGAAACAGCTGAAATAACATGTAGCATGGATGGATTTGAAAATAAAGACTAACTTTGAAAGAAGGCCTATTGTCAAATGTGTAAGGAGAATCTAATGCGCTTAACATAATATACATGAGAGTGTTCTTGAAATTTTGTTTTGATAAGAGTTTGACTGGAAAATAGACCAAACCTGAAAACTTTTGAAATTCTTGAAGTTTGTCGAAAATGAATAATGGTTCTATAAAGGCGTACACATAGACAATGTTTCTTGGAAGAAACATATAGCTATTTTATAGAGTAGGTCACTCGTATGGACTAAGTCAGATAAAATAAATATATGACTGCAGGCTAAACAAGTATTATTTGGTAGGCTTAGGTAGGCTTAGATCACTGTAAATTCTTAAGACGTCTCCCGTTGCGATTTTTGTATACCCAAATTTACTATATACGATACTGTAGCTAGATACTGCACTGACAGTAGGTATCCCAGATGCTCTATCCAAACAGCGTGACACATGCATTTCCTTCTGTATTTGCTTTTGTTTGTAAATTTGGGCTTTTGGTTCAGTGCAGTTTACACATGTCCGAACAGATGGTATGATACATGCCTGTAATCTACTTTATAGGTTCCAAAGAATATATATACCTGTAGGACCTGGCATGAAACTAATTAAGAGGAGAGATCCAACTGCTTTTGACAGCGCCTCATTGGCCCTGACACGTACATACCTACTAGAACATACCTACTAGTACATACCTACTAGTACATACCTACTAGTACATACATACTAGTACATACCTACTAGTACATACATACTAGTACATACCTACTAGTACATACATACTATAACATACATACTAGTACATACTACTAGTACATACATACTAGTACATACCTACTAGTACATACCTACTAGTGCATACATACTAGTACATACCTACTAGTACATACATACTATAACATACATACTAGTACATATATACTAGTACATACATACTAGTAACATGAAACTTAGTCATGGTCTCACAGCTGTACGAACTCATAGAGCTGACAGAGTTTTGCCTTTGACCCAAAATAAAGTATTGACTCCAAGCACATGTTGGACATGATGACGAGTCAGCAGTATCATCATGATCCAGTGCTGATGACAGCTGTGATACCATGCAATTTGTAGGAGTTTGATGACCCCAAATGAGGTCCTTTTGAACCTTGGCATCTGTTCTCCTGCCAAACATGAGTTACATCCAAGGCAATTTCCAAATTGAGACGCCGCTGCAAGGATTATCGTCAACGGAACTAGTCCAGTGGTAAGCTCTTCCGGTAAGCAGTGGAAGTGGCTGATGTGCAAGGATTATCACTAACATAAATAGTCCTGTGGTAAGATCTTCCAGTAAGCAGTGGAAGTGGCTGATGTGCAAGGATTATCACTAACATAAATAGTCCTGTGGTAAGATCTTCCAGTAAGCAGTGGAAGTGGCTGATGTGCAAGGATTATAACCAACAGAAATAGTCCTGTGGTAAGATCTTCCAGTAAGCAGTGGAAGTGAGTGATGTGCAAGGATTATCACCAACAGAACTAGTCCAGTGGTAAGCTCTTCCGGTAAGCAGTGGAAGTGGCTGATGTGCAAGGATTATAACCAACAGAAATAGTCCTGTGGTAAGATCTTCCAGTAAGCAGTGGAAGTGGCTGATCAGTCTGACTCAGGGCGATCGTTATGTAAGCATGCCAATATGCAAGATGGGATCCTCGTCCTGCACATAATCCACACGGCCCTGGCTTCCACCATCAAGGGTCCACTGTCAACTGTTCAGTGATGTCATCAAGAGTGTTTTGGGAGAACTGTCAGCACATTCGCAAACTTTTATCAAAGGGATATATTGGTGGAGGATGTACCAGTTCAAACCGCTATTGGCACAGTAGTAGACTGCTCCGCATCATGTATCACAAGTGTTTTCCTTATCTGAGTAAGTGTCGTTAGAATAATGCATAGGGCAACCGACTCGTGTAGTACATAGTGTTATTTATACTAGTTGTAACATAAGGTACAACTTTGCATAAAACTGAAGTCCCTGTGTGTTGCTTGAACGTGCACAGCAGTACCCCTACCGTACGGCCTGTGAACAATGGAGTCTTGATCGGGTAATCGAGCAATCTTGAATCAGACATGACAATTGCACATGTGTACATTTTATTTACAAGAAGACATAACTTTATAAAGGAATCGAGACACACATTAATTAGTTGGTACATATCTGAGTAATGTATAACAAAATACGTAGAGTGAGTAGATATCAAAATACTCAGGGTGAGTGTAAAAATACTGTCCATTTCTTGGGTAATTCAAAATGTAATATATAGAGGAATTTACAAGGCGATATATAGAGTCATGTTTGGGGCAAACATGGGAGAATGCATAGAGCAATACATTAAAATAAAGAATTATATACAGCTTTTAAAGCATAGCATAATACACAGCATAACATAAACAGTGAGGATTAGATTGGTGTAATTGGCCATAATATTATGCTGGGCATATCACTAGGGAGATACTTTGTGTACTATTTAGAAAGTCGAGAAATCGAAAAGCATATGCAAGGCTTCTTTTAGGGGAGACCTAAAAGCCCAAATTTGAAGAAAATAGGGAATTGCATCAGACATCATTAATGTCACTGATGCGTCAAATTTGAACAAATAAAACATAAATATTCACTGAGGCATTCAATGTTGTAACCTATAATTTAACTTGTAACCTCTGTATCCATAGATCAAAATATGAAACAGATGTGAATGTTTCATTGGTGTCATATTTTCTAGTTCAGGTGGGTAAAACAGGGGAAGAGCATTGGTATTGATATCAGTTCATAGATTACATACTTAAGCTTAAGTTAAACTTCGTGGCAAAATAGCCCTGTTTTGACTTTGCCAATCCGAGCATAAATTCCGATGCATATGCATAAAGAAATAGATTCTCAGGAAGGGGAGCGCAATTAATGCCCATGGGGATGCTTACGTTTGCCTCAGTGTCTCATCTTCCAAAATTTTACATGGATGTTATCAATGAGGAAGTCCAGCATGTCGCATATCATTCTCTCAGTGAACTTGCAATTTACTTTCAGGTTTGACAAATTGGCTCGAACCTCTGAATATAAATATGTAACTTTACCTTAGCTCTCAGCGATTTATAATAAAATCCCAATGGATCAAGGAATGAAGTTTTACCTTATGTTAGGTGACATGTGGGATAGTGGTGAACAAAGTTGAAAAATCAAACGTTTTCACAAAATTGTACCTGGTTCGTTTCTCAGCGAGCACAATGTCAAACACATCTTTTGAATATTTGAGAATTCAAATGGTATTTATTCCACTGGTCACAAATGTTTTCATCAAATAAAAAATAAAGTACTTCCTGTGATGTATTAAGGGTTATGGTTAATCTTTGAGTCAAGGATTTGGTGGTACCTTTGCTGGACCCAGCAATATATGGATCTTTGAACGGATTGTATGAACCTCTGGAATCCAGTACAAAAAAAGAGATGACATCTGGGTTTTTTAGAGTCAAGTTAACGTTTGATAATACTGATGTATTGTTGTTGCAGATGTCTTCCTCAGTTAAGACACTGGCCTTAATACTAATATAATGGAAAAAACTACACACATTTCATGTAGGGCAGCTTCATTGATGGCAGCTGGCTGGAACAGAATGGGTTCGTTTAATTTGTGTTTTCTCTTTTTCAGTTTGTGCATTCGTCCATTGACAACATCACATACTGAAATAATCCACTCTGAAACACATTCAACAGGTTCTGCTTCTCTTTCAAGACGCACCTTCCTGTTCTGCTTCTCTTTCAAGACGCACCATTCTCAGTGAACAGCATAAGCGATTTCCAGGCATTAAGCATTGGTATTTCTGATTGATGGAAGTTAGGTTACCACATCAACACAATTCATGTATCGCGGTCTGTGATAACGTTGGGTGGCCGAAACGCATTAGGTCTAACTTCGAAATTAGTTCCATGAAACAAAATATCATTTTTCTACAGCCACACAGTCTCTAGGTGTTCTCTTTTGATAAAACTTGGCAACATTGACCACTGTGCTGTATATCTAACTGAAAGGGTTAACTCCAACAGCAACCAATTGCCTCAACTTTAAGAGATGAACAGCTGCAATTAGGAGGGAATGAAAAGCCTCGAAAAAATGATACATAAACTAGAAGACCTTCAAAAGCCACAATAAGGAAAACAACACATGACAAGTATTTGAGCATGCAGGGTTCCAAGGCATCTGAATCAAAGACGCTCGAGGTTCATCATCTCTCTTGAAAATGTATATCATTTTGAAGTAGAACCAGCTGATTTTGAAAGATCAGTAAACCTTGATAATAGGTCGTGTGTCCAACAGTTTCAGCGACGTAGCACTTAGTGCATGCATTATCAGCTCACGATGCCAAACATGATGTCTTCAAAGTGAGCTGAATATCAGATTTGAATTACAGACAAAATACATTAGAGACTTACAGTAACATAATACATATACATTTATTTATGAACAGGTGATATATAGCTCACGGCTGTCTTGGGATCATCAACAAAAACATCACGCAAGAGTCGGGTGTAGGACTGAGCATCACTTGCAGAACTGTGGGACGAATCAGAATCTGCCATGTCCCGTGACATATGCGTGTAGGAACAGGCATCTCCGGCAGAACTCTGGGATGATTCGCCGTCTGAAACATTCTTTGGCATATGAGTGGAGGACTGGTTATCTCCGGCAGAACTCTGGGTTGCACCACTGCCTGTAACATCCTGTGGTATATGAGTGTAGGACTGTGTGTCTCCATCAGAACTCTGGGTTGCACCACTGCCTGCAACATACTGTGGTATATGAGTGTAGGACTGTGTGTCTCCATCAGAACTCTGGGTTGCACCACTGCCTGCAACATACTGTGGTATATGAGTGTAGGACTGTGTGTCTCCAGCAGAACTCTGGGTTGCACCACTGCCTGCAACATCCTGTGGCATATGAGTGTAGGACTGTGTGTTTCCAGCAGAACTCTGGGCTGCACTACTGCTTGCAACACTCTGTGGGATACGAGTGGAGAACTGTGTGTCTCCAGCAGATCTCTGGGTTGCACCACTGCCTGCAACATCATGTGATATATGAATGTAGGACTGTGTGTCTTCAGCAGAACTCGGGGATGATTCGCCGTCTGAAACACCCTGTGATATATGAGTGGAGGACTGGGTTTTTCCAGCAGAGCTCTGGGTTGCACCACTGTCTGCAACATTCTGTGGCATATGAGTGGAGGACTGGGTTTCTCCAGCAGAACTCACGGATACATCATTGTATGTTCCACCTACTGTTGTACAAAAACATTCTGCCAACACTGGCATGGAGAGCCTATGCCCACATTCCTCTTGCTTCACAGCTGGTGGTACACAGGATATGCCTATATCTTCATCTCTGATCTGCCAATATCTGTTTATGGCCTGGTATTCTACAGAATATATATCATCCTGAACGCCTTCCTCGTTGTGTTGAACAATTGATGATTGTTGAGCTCTGCAACAATAAAGAGGAAGATTAGACAGCAATACAAGCTGTGAAGTGCCTTCACAAAATTGAGTGAACTAGCGTATTGATTCAAGTATACAGAGTACATTTCAATAATTGTCAGGTTTTGTCTGAATTAGTGTTAAGATAATTGCGAATCATTAGCCAGCTATTGCAAGAGATACGGAACCATCTGCCTGTCATGTAGGTACCTTTTAGTTCTCCAACGTTTGATGGAATGCAGGCATGCTAGCATTACAATCACAATGCCCACAGGTGTAAGCCCAGTCCACAGTCCGATTGCCTCGTTCATCCCATTCTCATCTGGAAAGCCAATATTTGATAATAATGGTATAAATCTGCTCTGTGCAATATGTTTTAGAATATAGTATTACAATATTAAGTATCTCGACTATGACAGATACACAGCTATTGTATCACTGATGTGTTACACTGTCACATTAAAAAAAGAATATTGTGAGCACAAACATATTGTTTTTAAACGTATAGGCAACAAATGGCAGTTTCACGGAAATATGTAGCACCCCTTAATGCTAAAGAGGAACCATCTTTTTTACGCCTTTTGGTCCGACGCGTCGGGGATGGAACTCCGGACCTTCCACTCTCTGGGCGGACACTCTACCACTAGACCATGTAGGGGGTTCATTTACAAAAGGAAATATAAACGACCTTGATCTGTGTGGCATAACCGCAAAACATGATGCATTGCCATTAACCTACATACTTTTGATTCATCATTTATATTTCAATTATGATGCACATCGATGTGCTTTCCCTTGATATTAACTCACCCTGACATGATCGGCAATCATCCACAGTGCAGTTGTTCCTGCAGATAGGTGTGCATTTGTGTCCGGTTGTGTTGCAGCCTTTGAAACACATTCCTGTCATCTGGTCACACTCTCCATCAAGGCAGAATTCACACGTGTTGTTACACGATTGTCCATAGAATCCATTAGTACATCCATGAACACAAGTTCCATGGCTTGTATGACATGTGTGGTTGATACAGTTGTCAGGGCATGGTATACAGTTTCTTCCAAAATGATGAGATGCACACCCATCTACACAGTCGCCTGTATCATTACATCTCCCATTCCTACAGTTACCGTTACACTGTAAGGAGCAGTGTGGACCAAACCATCCATCTACACACCCATCTACACAGTCCCCTGTACCGTTACATCTCCCATTCCTACAGTTAACATTACACCGTGAGGAGCAGTGTGGCCCAAACCATCCATCTACACACCCATCTACACAGTCGCCTGCATCGTTGCATCTCCCATTCCTACAGTTAATATTACAACATGAGGAGCACTGTGGCCCAAACCAGCCATCTACACACCCATGACGACAGTCACCACTGTACTGATTGCATTCAACTGTGTCATTAATTACAGGTCGTGTGTCTCCAGTTTTATTGCCTATCATCATTGGGCTGAAACCACAGTTTGTCTTGCATTCCTTCTCACAGGCAGTACCATAAAAGCCAGGTACACAGCCATCCAGGCATCCAAATACACACGTGTCCCTACAGTTTTCACATAAATACTCGCAGTTTGGTCCAAAATATTGTGAAAAACAGTCCTCACACATCCCTGTAAAGCCATTGCATGTCTTACATCTACTGGAACATTCTTTACAGTCAGACCCATAGTAGGAACCATTACATCCTGATACACAGGATGAATTAAGCTGGCAGTATCCTCCATCACAACCACCTGGACATGCTTTACAGTTACCTCCTGGACTTTCACATGGTATTTTGCACCTTACGCCTTGAAATCCTGGAACACAACCCTCTGTGCACACTTCTGTGCCACCGCTCACGGGTTTACATTTCTTATTTTTACAGCTGCTGCTGCAAAGAGACCTACATTTAAGGTCGTAATAGCCACTGTCACACGTGGTTAGGCAAAAGCCACTCCTGCTGTCACAGTCTCGGCAGTGTTGATTTTCACTGCAACTGGCAGCTGGAAACCAAACACAAAGTAAATCGTGAAGTACAGACAGGTATTATTATCTCACACACCAAACAAATATATTTAAACAGATTTAGAACGCATGGGTAGATGACTCGTGATAGGATGTTTTATGCTTTTTATAGGGATTAATATCGAAGCTGGGAGAAGTCTTCAGGAGTTGTTCAGAAGTAGTAAGACCTTATCTGAATGTTTACCTGCAGATGTGACCAGGTAAGCAATGGACACTACCATCAGTGCAGGCATGATGCAGCTGTAATTAAGAAGATGACATATACAATATAAAGTCATTGAAAGGCATTTAGAATTGATACACATAATGTATGAGAATGTATGGATGTCGTCGTCTTTATAATGAGGAATACAACGTTTTGGAGTATTATATTTACTCCTTCACTCCTTTACTAAATGTTAGGAGGCAATAAGATAACAGAGGAGGAAACGTTGTAAAGGATGCCAACAGATAATCGGCACTGATGGGTTATTGGCAATGGACAAATGGAAGCTAACACTCGGCTTATAACTGGTTGGTTATAGGCAATGGACAAATGGAAGCTAACACTTAACTTATAACTGGTAGGTTATAGGCAATGGACAAATGAAAGCTAACACTTAACTTATAACTGATTGGTTATTGGCAATGGACAAATGGAAGCTAACACTTAGCTTATAACTGATTGGTTATAGGCAATGGACAAATATAAGCTAACACTTAGCTTATAACTGATTGGTTATAGGCAATGGACAAATGGAAGCTAACACGACGGGGTGGGGAGGGTGGGGGAGGGGGGTGGGGGGTGGGGGGTGGATAATTATCAGTGATAGGTCATAGAAAGAAAATGACAATAGACAAATGGAAGCCAGCAGGACAATAAGCACCGACAATGATGCACTAAATACTAGGCACTGGGAAGAGGGATTCACATGTCACAAAACACATGTGATGAACTGAGAACATGAGTGTACCACAAGCCAGCACACATAGAAATAGATGTCATATACAACATGCCCAGATACACAATACACACTTACACATATATGCATGGTATGATACTGATTAAAGAAGTGGTAATGCAACTCACTTGTGTGATCAGCGTAGCGTTAATGGGCGATGTGTTCATCTGCTGGCTCAATAAACCTATGAGGTTGACTCATGGTGACCTAATTTACAGGATCTAGCTTTTCCTCTTTACACGGAAGATATTATTACTAATAGTATACTGGATATTAGTTTCAACATGTGACATATCATATTGTATTCAGAAACAATAATTAATTCAGATGTCCGAATATTTTGGCCAATGAAAAATTTCGAGCTCACACACACATGCGCTGTCACTTCCTTCACATATAACATGTAAGAAAGTAATAATAAGCACATAACCTTCACCTTCACGACTTATATTTCGCTCAAATATCAGCACAGTCTGTAAGCAGTGAGTTTTGAAGAGTTCAGTTTTTTTATTTCAAGATCAGATGGAATAATCAAAGTTTGACTATTGTCAGTTCTTACTTTTGTACGTGTTACTGTGCCTTTCTATTGCTATCAAAAACTAGTTACAGCTAAATGTTGTATAGACTACATAACATTTCAACACCTTTCTGTATGGTGGCCTTTGTGAAAAGAAATAATAGTGTTTTGTGTCTCAGCTTAAATTGTGAACAATCCAACATTGTATTTGACAGTTAACATCAGCAAACACACAACTCTTTTGCAAACTACTAAAATTAAACATATCAGTCGCATGCAGGTACTTGCACATCACCAGCAAACACAAATATCTGTGTTGACACATTCAACTAATCTGAGCCAGTTTGTTCCATGCATGTATCAACTTCCCTGTATTCTGGATATTACACTTCGACCTCGAGTTAATATTATGTTGATATCTGCTGCTTGCAGTGAGACAAATATGGAAAAAATATTGAACGTGTGACTATTTGGACATACGCATTCCATTATAATTTGTAAGCGTTAATGTGGCTCTCAACATATCAAAAGCATACTTTTGCAATGACGATATACTGGCTAACAAAAATATATACATGTTGCCCTTTATAAACAAGTCATTGCCTAAAATCCTAGTATGATAACAAACCAGGCATGATAAGGGATAATGCATTTATAGTTATGATAATTTTACATGTGTTTACAGTTATTGTTTATGTAGTTGCTGCAGGAACCTCATGACAAGTCACGTGTTAGCCTAACCAACGACGGGAACATAAGGCAAAATAAGTTGAAATCATTTTGTAGGTAAACTGCGTCAAAAGAAATTGAAAATTTATTCCACATGACTGTCTACCATAAACAGTTTTTCAAAGCTTAAGGAAGGCATTGACATCTTTGTTAAAAGAGCATGTTCGATTGTACCTCAAACTAAAGCCTTGAACTTCTGAAACATTGCTTGATGTAAAAGGGAAGTTGACTTTTGAAACCATTCCTCTTTATTTCTTAACATTTATACATAGGTTATGGATTTGATATTTGACATTGACGCTTTGTTGATCGATCGTAAATGTAAGCAAGGCACCTTAAGTTTGATAATTCGCCCTCACATGGTCAAAGTCACAAAGGTTATGTGGACAGGCAAGTTGACTAACTAATGTGTGTGTAATAGTATGCCTATCGAATATCGGTTGAACTTGTCACAGTATGTTAAGCGTCGTCAAATCACAGAAATCAGCAAGTGAGTAGTCAAGAAAGAACGTATTGAAACATGCACTGCTACATTATTTAACTTGAAAGTATTTATACAGCTCCTCAATGGTAATGTGTTTGGCTGTACATATTATATACATTGGAATAAACACAAACGAGTGACATATTCTCTCCTTTGTCACAACAGTTAGGTGGGAAATCAGAGTGTGAAACATGGTCGCCCACAGTAGTTTGGAACGGCTCTCTGATCAATTATCTTCATGTCACTGCTTCATACGCTGCCAGTGTTGGTGGCGATATTTCTTAGACATTTTTTCCAAGGGGAAAATGGTGTACACTGAGAACATGTCACGTTCACCCACGTACCAGCACGCACAAAAACTGACATAGTGAAGTTGGTTTGTCGCACAACAGGTATGGTTTATGACTACAGTTCTTGAGAAACCCCGCAGTTCCTTTGTATATGTCTTTACCAGCTAACACTAAGGGATCACACACAGACAGAGAAGCATGTTTATTTATATGTGCACCTACAAAGCATCTTATATCGCATACAAGTTACAAAGCAGTTAAAATCTCACACATTGATACATTGACCACTTTACTAAAAACAAATGTGTAAATCCAAAAGAACAATAAATACAGCAGAAGGATGGAGTAAATGTGTTTTGATTCAATTTGCTATTGGTGAGAATGTATGTATGTGCCCAGCCATATTTAAGAATAACAAGGACTACAACAATTCATAAATAGTCAGTGCTGTAGAATATGGATGAGGTTTATATCCTACACATCGTTTCTGTCTGTAGATTTCGTATTCGTTTGCAGCAGAATAACCATCACATGTAACGCTTAACTGGTATCTTAGCCAAGACGTTAAACCTTGTACATGGCTAAATCAAAGAGTGAGTCCCTCAACCTTTTACATCCTACTTATAACTACCATTCCTCACCTATGTTAGTTACTGTTATCACCGTCATTACCTACATCATGAGCATGTAACATATCAATATGCCATGTTCCCTCAAGCTTGGATATATTCTTTCAGAAGTGTAGTTTTTGATTAGCTATTTAAAACATTTTAATATGAATTAGCCATGTTCATTGTAACCTGCTTATATTATTGTTGTAAACATCTCTATATATGCTTTGTTCGGAAGTTCACGATTCAAACGCAGCCGAACATGACCAGCATGGAGGGGGTTCATTTATGATTTGGGTTGGATCAGTAGATGAAGACAACAGGAAACGTCCCAAAAGAGATCCGGGCCTTGAATCTGATGATAGCAACTTTGTTTAAGCTGATGCTCCATTAATGTTACAAATTAAGGATGTATTGCCCGGCGCCGACAGCAGGACCCCTGCCAAGCAACAGTTGTCGGGAAACAGACCAGACAATGAAGTTGTTAATGAACAAGGAAGTTCAGTGACATGCCAGTGCATTTACTGTTTTTGTTGAAACTAATAAAATTATATGTTTATTTTGAACCATATCTCCTGTGTACAGGTGCAGATATTCTGCTGGTTATATGTAAAGGCAAACGCTCAAGACATGTATCAGTTTTAAAAAATATGGGCAGTATGAACGCAAGCATTGTATTAAGGCACTGGGAAAAGTTTTCCATTAGTAAAACTGTTTACATGTCGTAATGGCTGCAGATTATTAACACGTTTTAATAGCTCCTTTATTAATCATCCATATATTAATTTATTGTATTGTAAACATGTTTTCTAATTTTGTAAGGCAGTAGCTATCCCTCGTTTGGTCATGCAAACAAGAAAAACGCGTCCTCTCAATTATTACGAGCTTAAATAGAGAATCATTAATTCTCAACACTAAAATATGGTTGTCATGTCCACATTGAAGTTGATTAATGTTTAGATCAGACGGGTTGTTTTGTTACTCTCTGCTCTTTGTTTTGTCCTTTAGTTACTGACGAGGCTGAGTAGTCACCATTACATCCCATCTATTTTGCATGGATGTTGAGTTCTGCTACGAGATAAGATGTGATCAGAACAATTGCACTGGTAATTTATCCAATAGTTAAAACACACATTTTTACGATTTTGATTATACTGTGTCAGTAGTTGAATTGTAAGTTTGCGTGTGCCTACAGATAGAGCTCCATATGATAACATCAATCAAACTTTTCTCAGGATTATGAGGTTGTTCATTATTTACGTTTTTATAAACCAAATGGACAATAGAAACCCTAAACAAAACATACATATTATATGAAGCAACATATGTGAGGCTATGTGCTGTTCATTGGTGTTTTGTAAGCGCAACACATTTTACTTTTGCAAACAAACAAACAAACAAACATGGTTTTAAAGGTGATGTTGAATGAAGGTCTTTTGCGATGAGTTCCTTATATTTTTCAAAACTTATGAGAATGAATTGTTGCATGTTCAGTTGCAATTTTCACAATGTCAATGTAATTACAATGTGTCATCTTCCCACACATCTCCCAGATATCTACTCCACATCTGTTTATTTGTTCATATGAATGTATCAAAACAAAACTGCTCAGTGAAAGTCATGCTTCTGTAATGTTGGGCACAGAAAATACAAACAAAACTATTGT